TCATTCACTCCTGAATGTTGGACACGGGAATATTTGTAATCCTTAATTAATAAATTCAATATATTTTTGCAACATTATTTTCTGCTAGTTTATTAAAAACATATGTGATAGTTTTCATTGGGGAACCCCTCCTCACCATTTCGCATGCTCATTTCTTAACCCTTGACATGCATGGGAAACATCATTTTGCAGGGGGGTCGTTCGTGCGCTGGCAACATGCGAGGCCATCATTAGGAAGCCGAAGGTCGTGGTCGCAGACAGGGAGCTAAAGGGTCCAACAAAGGCATCTTTGGGGTGCCAAAGGGCATGGTCGCATCCAAGGAGGCGAAGGGTCTAGGGAAGTCATCCTCAATTTGCCCAAAGGTGTGAAGACTCGTTGCAACGCAAGGCTGGTCGCAAAGGGACGTAGTGGTGACGCAAAATGATCGACCTCTACTAAGTCAAATCTGACTTGATAAAAGTTGAAAGGACTAAAATGCTCCTACCCTAATAGGAATATGCTTAGGATCTAGCTTTAGAGTGGAGGTGTTTTGGTCCAGCTGTTGTAACCTATGCACTATAAATAGTGTCCCACATGAATAAAGAGGGCAAAGCATTCCATATTGAAGATATCCACTTCACTATTCCACTCTCTCATTCTAGTTCAGAAACCAACCATCCAAGACTTCAGTCGAGGACAACCTCTACAAACCTCTACTTTTTTCTAATAACAAAATGAAGGTTCCAGCTTTAGTCCTCTTCAAGGAACAGACATTAGTTGAACTTATTACAAATCAAAAGTGTTTCCACACATAAGTTTCACATTAAAATCAATCCAAAATGCAAATATTTCATCTTCAGCATGCAACCCTCTCTAAAACATAAACTTTCTAACTGCGCATGGCCAAAAAACACAAATGCATGTTAAATGACCAACTAAGAAACATTATATGAAACACCAAATCATGCATATGATATAAAAAGTTGTGCATATGAGTGCAAACATTTGGATCTGTCACCTTACTTAAGTTGTGGTTCAGGTTCAGAACATCAACATACTGAGATCATGCTAAAAGCTGCTATTATGCATGGTGTGCTGTATTCCTCGCTCACGTTGTTTAATCAAGCTTTGCTAAAGTGGCCAGGAGAAAGCCTTCATGTTCCAAAGTGATCACTGAAAATTAAAAGCTGGTAGGTATTCAAGTTTTAATATCCAATTGGTATTTGAGATAAATGCATTGTAACGAAATTGGACAAAATGAGTTGTAACTAAATTGCTGATCTAGGCAACTACTTTTATAGCTTCTGTAAAAGAGCCATCCTTTTCTTATAGCCTTGTAAAAGAAGAAACAGAGAAGTAACTATATGCCCCATCTCTCTTTATAAAGTTATTAAAAATTTGACCAGAAATTTGTAGCGACAATGGATTGGGCTTCCAATTCTTTTTTGTAGGTTTAGAGTTGATAGTGCTGATATCGAAACTATAACAAGATTGATTGGCCATGGGATTCCTCTTTTGGCGGCTGTCCTAATTGGGAAGTGCTTCCGCTTTCTACCAAGTGGAGAAATATACCACCCACCATCAGCTAATGAGTGTATTCCACAAGGACCGAAAGATGAAGATTGTTGTGTTACACATGTTGTGGTATTACATGGTTCTGGTGTCACCATGCCAGAATGTAAGCTATCGGTGCAAGGGAATCTGGTGGCTCCAACCCCTTGTGTGGTACTCGCTCCATTTATTTTTATGGGGTTTATTAGGATTTCAGAAAACAAGTATCCTACTAAAGAATATGTGATGAAACTGCTAATGCACCCTTTACACACTAAATATACATATATTTTGACTAACTGATGGTCCAAGTTTACAATGTTGATTTATTGAAATCCCGACATGCACTACATTTTGCAATGGAGGGAGTATACTTTAAGTGCAGAAATTGTCATGGAAGAACTACACATCCAAGCTGGGAGAAGGCAGGAGAGGGAGCAAATTTTGTGTGGGCTACCGATCATTTTGATGATGTATATGGCATTCATTTACTCGATTTTGATGACTAGGAGGTATGGTGGCATGGTGTTGTTCCTTGTCTGGTTTACTACAGTAAATATATATACCGATACTTAAGTATGGTAGGGGTTATTTTCTATAGAGCATAATATCATTTTACTTGTCTGCTTTTAACTCTAGACTAGATTTGGTTGATGCCTTGCATGCTATATGAACTTGATATTGTCAGTGTAGTAGAAAAATCCTACTTATGTTTGTTGGAACTTAAGGTGCCTACATAATTCTCTTACTATTTTGTGTTGGGTAATAATAGAAAAGCTGTTCTCCATAAGCGTGAGAACATTCTGGTCATGTAGCGCCCGCTCCATAATCATGATACAATGCACATTATGGTTTAGGGTTACACCGTTACAACATAAATGTTTAGGAAGCTACTCGTTTAACTCGCTTAATTAAGGTTGTGTGTATGCTATGTCCATGTATTTGATGCCCCTTACAGACTATCAAGAAAATGGACATTGCTCGAAAGAGATTTTTTTGGTGGAGAGGGAGGTTAAGGAGAAAGTACTATCTGATCAAGTGGACAAATATCACCGAACCTAAGCAGAAGGGGGGTTAGGGATCAAAAACCTAAGAAGAATGAACATTAGCCTTCTCTGTAAATGGTGGTGGAAGGTGGAACCTGGGAATGGAATTTGACAAGACATTGTCAAGAAGAAGTATATGAAATCTGGTGGCATAACCCAACTTAATGAAGAGAAGTAATAAAAATTCCCCTGTGTGGAATGATCTTTTGAAAGTCAAGCACATATACATGGGAAGAAGTATGGGAATTGGGAATGGTATGTAAACAAGCTTTTGGTTGGATAAATGGTGTGGGCAAGTGTCTCTCAAAGACAAATTCCCTGATCTTTTTGAGATTAGTAATGAACAGGATTGTTCTGTTCATACAATGAGAATGAGAAATAATTAGCGCTTCACTTTCAAAAGATGGCTGCATTAAGAGTTACAAATCCAACTGAGGACAATGCAAGTTATTTTATTCAGATGTAGCACTAATGACAATCAGGATAAGGCAAAATGGGATTGGGAGAAATCGGGTTTATTCTCAGTCAAATCAATATACAAACATTTATGTAGAAATGAAGTTGGGATGAATTTTAAGCATATCAAGAAAGCTAAGCTACCTTTGAAGGTGAATATTTTCATGTGGCTTACCCTTCAGGAAGCCATCTTGATAAAGGATAATCTACTAAGGAGACAATGGAAAGGCAATGGTGCTTGTGCTTTTTGCACAGAATAGGAGAGTGTGAATCACCTATTTTTTGGATGTACTACTGCTAAGTATGTTTGGAGTTTTAATTGCTTATGCATTAGGGGCAAATTGTTGACCTAGCTCGTTTGATCAATACTTGGAGTGGATTAGAATCAATTTACCTAATTGTAGCCCAGTCTATGCTATGGGCCTTGCTGTTGTATGTTGGGCTATTTGAAAGACTAGGAATTTAGTCTGTTTTGACAAGAAGAGGATTAAGTTTCCTACTGAAATTCTTTGTGTGATGTGTTCTTTTATTACATTTTGGGCATGCAGGGCTACAAAAGGCAAAGCTGGAGAAGCAGGTTCTTTAGGGTGCGGAGACCATCAAGGTGATTGTGTTCTGCTCTTTCATCAGAAAGACATGAAATCTCAAGCGCAAGAGGAAAGGCGGATCGTATCGTATGCTTGTCAAGTTTAGCTTTCGGTGTGGAAAGACTTATAGGTGTTTTCAGCTATTTCAGCCTACACGCTGCTAAGGACGAGGGCCATGTACTGGAACCCTCTCTTTTTTGTCTTCTGTTCTCGTAAGCATGGAATGCGTCTCATAGGTGCTGGGTTTCTCCCCCTGATGGTTGTTCCCTGGGTGAGCAGTATCAGGGTGGTTCGTTCGTTTAGTTTCGCGCTGCATTCTTAATGTTACTATCTGAACTTTGTAATTTTATTACATCGTAATGAAAACCAGTTTTACCGGTGTGGGAAAAAAAAATGTTGCCATAGTTATGAAGCTAGTTATCTACCACCTTTCTAGTAACATTTGCGACTCAATCTGACTGTTGTTGTTAAGTTGGCCCTGGAGCATTTTCGGTATGCGGGGGAGAATTTCATTTCTTACTCCATGTGACTGGCTCTTACTTGCTGTCATTGACTTCCATGCTATAGCATTTCATTCTTAATTTGTTTGGACCGCTATTTTCTAGAATTGCAGTGCATTCAAGGTTGGATTGCTTTTGTATCGTTGTCTCTCTCATTTTCAGGTCTGAAGTGATCAAGTGAATGCTCTAACATCATGAGAAACCCGAGGCCATTGGCAAAGCTCATCTTCAAACGACTTTCATGTTGTTTTGTAATACTGATTTTGGTGAAACAACTTTCCCGCAATGACAAATAGGCCTTGGCCATTTACATTTTGAACCAAGAAAGGAAACCATAGCCCCGTTTGGCAACCAGAAACGTTTCTGATTCTCAAGAGAAACTGCAGAATCACCGCCAAACGGTCTAAACCTTAGTGACTATTTGTTATGAGGTTATAGCAATTGTATTCGAGTGTTAGGCCTTATTTTCCCATACCTCTTTGATGCCAGGAACTTATTAGCATTGCTCAATCTCGATGGTGGCACATTTTCTGGTATCAACAGGAAGAAATGTGATACAAATTTCCGGACAGATTTGGCACAAAAACTATGGCACATGTTGGCATTGTATAACGACATAAAGGAAGGGTGAGAACACAGAGGTATGATTCACTGAATGTTAAGCGCCTCTTGTACACATGAAGTTCATGCTAGTATGTTTCCCCTAAAAATAGGTAGTGTAATGCTAATGATCAGTTGGGAAGAGAAGATCGAAGCTAGTATAGTAGCACTAATATATTGATTTGCCTCCTTATTTATCTTCGAACGAGGTGGTTCGTTATTCCAGAAAATTCTTTCGAGTCATTATGCGTTTGATCCAGAGCTATGTGTTCTCTTGTAGCTAATTCAGCTGCCCCCTCTGCGACGCCGACGACAAGATGGCGTCGAGCGCCTCCCTCACTTGGGAGATCTCCGGCGCCTTCCCTCCCTGCGCCGGCCAGAATTCGTCTGTTGCAAGAACCTGCAATTGGTCAATCAATTCAAGTAGTACTACTTAGTTACCACACTTCCAATGCGCCATCTAAATTGTTCATACAGATGCATGCATGTGGATGTGGATGTGGTACCTTGACTTGCAACTGGAGGAACTTGACGTAGCTGATGGCCTTCTCGAGCATGGTGACCAGGTCGACCTTGGTGCCGTTGGGCACCAGCTCCTGCAGCGTCCGCAGCCGCTCGCTGATCCGCTCGCGCCGATTCTGCAGCAAGAACGGTCTCAGATCACCGGAACAGAATGCAAAGAATTGAAGCGCCTCGATGGACACCAAACAAAACTTACCTTGGCCGCGAGGCTCTGGGGGTCCTTGGTTGGGGTTGTGGACGCCGACTTGGCCTTGCTCGCCATCCTGCCCGCGCCGCAGTGCTTCTTGGGGCTCACGGCCTGCGGCTCCGCACTCTGCACGCAGTCGTTACAAATTCTGGGTGAGTCGACATGTCCAGTCCAGACTCCAGAGCGAATTGTGTTGGCGCGGCACGTACCACGTAGGTCCGTTTCTGCGGGGCGCGCACCGGCGCCGTCGTGCGCTCGGGCGTGCCGCCCCCGCCCGACGACGCGCTCGGGAACAGCAGCCCGAACGGGCGCCCCGCTCCGCCGGACGACGACGCCCTCTCCGTCAGGGTGAAGCACCCTGTGGAGGCGTCAAAACCCACGGAGGCCGTCAGCGCGTGGCGCGCCTCTGGCGCCGCGGTGGCGCCGGCGCCGTAGCTCTGGTCCATGGCGTCGATCCACGCGTCGCTCTCCTCCTCCTCGTCCTCAACCACAGCCGCCGCCGCTGCTGCCGTGGCGCGGTTGAACGCCAGAACAGTCGACGCCCCGGCGCCCGTCCAGGCGTCCCCGCCGTCCGACACATAAGCGGATGCCCCTTCCCCGAACAGCGCCGCCGACGCGTCAAAGCCCAGCAGCGCGCCGTGGCCGTAGCCGTAGCCGAGCGCGTCGAAGGCCGCCGCCTCGGCGCTGTCGAAGCCACCGTACCCACCGTGCTCCCTCACCAACGCCATGATCGATCGATCACGATCGATGACCTCTGCTAGCTAGTTACTTAGTTGGAGACGAAGAAAGTGGCTACTCTGCACTACGAGCTGTGTACTCCCCTGCGCGCCAACAGAGAACAGACGGCTCGTGCGTTCGTTCTGGAGGAGTGTGTGTTTGGTTGACGCCATGGTGTGTGGCTTATATACGCGAATGGTGACGGGAGTGCACATGGGGCCAAGCAGGATTTGCACAGCTGCATTAAATGTGCGAGGAAGTTAGTTAGGCGGTCGAGGTGTGCAGATCAGATTAGGGATACTGTTAAGTGCCTAACTCGGGATTAAAGTAGCGGGACAATGTGCTTCGGATACTGTTAATTCCTGGCTGACGCCGGGGGCAATTCCCTGCTGTTCTTCAGCTGCCTGTTCTTAGCTTGTCTGTAAGATTAGAAACACGATGCTCCACTGCTCTATTTTTAAGTACAATTAATGCAGCATCCATGCGTGTCATTAAATGCCGTTGATAGTGTTCCCTTCCCCTTCTCTGATCTGAGAGCAACTAGAAGCTCCCTTAATGCGAGTCAAGAGTAGCTATACAGGCGTGCATGCACGTCGACGTGTTGAGTGTGAGCTCGATCAATCTCCTCGATCATGGCTTGCTATAGGGCAAGCGCACGCACTGATTCACAGTAAAGTTAAGCGAATATGATCGATCCCCATCTGACTCTGTTTTGGTTTGGCGTTAAAAAAAGTGTTGGTTTAATTCGCACATGACATCGTTTCTATGATTAATCATAATCATTTTATAAAACCATTTGCCCGTTAGGTATGGGGTAGGCCCAGCCCAGGCTTGTGTGGTAAATTAAGGTTGTTGTACACGACCTCAGTTAAGCATTCAGTAATAGACTGCGATCGCAAGTTCGCCGAAGGAGAGGGTGTTGCGAGCAGATTGAACATACAGAGCTCTCCCGCCCGCAGGCCTATTCTAGAAATTATGCTGGCTACGTGACTAATAACCACAAAACAAGCAATGAATCCTCAACGACAAACGAACAAGGGGCGGGGCATTTTCGGGGAGTAGCCCCTTCAGAAGAAACTTCCTAGCACATACATTAAGGGATAAATTATAATTCCTAAAGAAATCAATATTTTATAAAAATCATATAAATAAAAGTTATGTTCCAAAAAACATATGTTTTATGGATAAAGATCAACTTAAATACAAATTATTTCAATTTGTTGCACTTAAAAGGAATAAGTGAAAAAATTCGATTGCTAGTGCAAAGCAAAGACAAGAAATAGAATCAGACGAAACTGCTAGTAGACCGTGTTTCACATGCGTAGTGTAAAAAGGGGAATTGTTTCTCCGATTTTTGGATGGAAATGCTATGGCGTATCTTCGTTTGGCACATATTCTTGTGTTTTGCAGTGGAATCGGAACGATTCTGGCAAGCCAAACGGCCCTCAATCATGCCATACGAGTATACATAACTGAAGCAGTGAAGCTTGAGTAGGGAAAATTGTATGGGGACGGTCCTTAAAAACCATGAACACCCACCATGGATTTATGGCACATGTCTATGTTTATGCATCCAACGTATGAAACTGTTGCTTAAAGGTGGGTAGCATGTCTAGTCGGGCCAAGTGCAATTACTGGTGCTTTTATGTTACTCCTACATGGAAAAGAGTCAATAGAGATAGGAGATTACTGTCATTACTAACTAGTACCATGTCCATCGTCATATGTGCCTATATCAATGTCAAGTCCAAAATGGCGAGTGTCGACCCATCACTAATGGCACACTTTAGTGATGGACCTCAATGGTCACCTATCATTGAAGTGTGTCACATATTGCATACATGACAAATCACTAAAGAAGTCATAAGTGACAATTTACATGACACCGTCACTAGTGGCTTAACATAACCCTAGAGCAAAGCTAGGATTCCCACGTCATCATCTTCCCCACAAACAACAAAATACAACAGCATTGCATACACATCGACAAATAAACATATATATTACAATTCACATTAGCATCTATAATCACACATATATAGTTTTCACATTACATACTTATTCAAATATCCATGTTTGCGAGCATATACACAAGTCATAAGACTATGAAATAGTTCATTCCTAAGTCAGCTAGTCTTCATGGTTGACATCAACAATCCCAAATACACATATAGTTTCCATATGAATAACTGCATGCATAAAGACACTACCTACAGCAACGAAGGGCAAATCCAATGGAATTCCGTAAATAGAGAAATTACTCATGCATGAAAAAGCTTGATATTGCCTTCATAAACCCTTGCCAATTCTGTACTAACCATTGTGTACCCAAGTCACATCATGACAAAGCATATAACTTTGCTTAACATAAAATGGGAAGTATCTTGTTGTTCCACCAACAGTCCTACAAAAGAGAGCAAGAATTAAATAGGAATCATCATCGTATACTGAAATCACACTATGCAACAAAATTCACGTCACCAACCATGACAAATGCATGTGACGTGAGAAATTCATATCATTAAATTCACATCCTCATTGTGTTTTAGTACTTATTTCAAATAGTTGTAGTCAGGTGAAGGAAACCCATGCTCTTTCCTACAAAATCATTGTAACTGTTCTTTTTCATCTACATAGTTATCAAGTGAATGGATACTAAAGTGAAAGGAGACTAGATGCCTGTGTGACCCAAGAGTGGGAGGGTGGTGTGATGACTTAAAACTAACCTAGGTTCCTACTAAAACTTTACTTCGATCTAAAACTTGACTTCAAGGTAAACCTAAACCATGTTATTTAGATGTGCAACTAGGCTTTTGTATCATTTTTGTCCATGCACAAAGCAAATTTTGCAACCTAGAGCACATCCTATCAACTAGCCTATCAAGCTCTAAGAAAATAACTAAAGCTACTTCATGAAAGATAAAGGCACACATTGGAGAAGTGTAAATACGGTAAGTAAGGTGAAGAACAAGAGATGCATAAGCTCTTGGCACATAGATGTATCATCTATCTTGTAGTACCAGCGGGCAAACACACCAACCCTAGTCCATCTTGGAGCTTCACAAAAAGGTATGTGTATGGTCACCAATCTTCTCCCCAATCAAGATCATGAGTTCGCCATGAAGTCTCACACCAAGCTAGATAAGCAACTTGCCACACAAAGGCAAGTCTCACGTCAACCTACCATCCAGATAACTTGACATAGTCTTCACTACAGAACTTCTCCAGAAAAGAATGGTATCCTCCTCGTCCAAACAAGTTTCCATCATTGCTCCACACAAAGAGGTTCAATAACATAACCGGTGAGACACACAAGGATCAGCTACATCATCCTCCAAATAGGTTTCTACCAGGGATTACAAGGGTGGTTATATAGTGAACACCTCCTCATACCCTCTCATCTAAGGCCTAGTCTTGTACTATTCACTTTGACAACGTGATAATGGCCTTGTATTGATAAATTTGGTCCTTCTATGGACTCATACTATAGTGCATTCTCATTGTCTTCCTTTGCTATTATTGCACTCTACCGTGCAATACTCCTCTCAGGATATTTCTTCAAGCATCAGACTATCTAATCTTTGTTTGTTTTACTTTTGTCTTCATCTACTCTTCATGGCAGTGGTGGATTCAGGATTCAAAACTAAATGGGGCCAAGCTTGTTGATTTTAAATCAATTAGCACAATTAGTATATATAATTATAAATTTTATGAAGGGGCTAAATGTACTTTTGGGAAAAAATTGTGGGGCCAGGTGGCACCACAGCTTGTACCTGGATCCGCCACTGCTTCATGGCATCTTATCGTATATACTAAACTATCCTCACCCATATATAATGATTGAAACATGAGGTTATGTATAAGCCTAGATGGAGTATCATTCTGTTTAATCAAACCAAAGGAGGAACCACCTACATCAATTGGTAGACCTTTAACAATTACATATTTTTCAAATTGTGAGTTTATCATTTTACATCAACTTAAGTGTTATATTATCAGTGCAGAAAGTGACCAACACGTAAATATTTGTAGTTTTGCTGTACGTTGTGATCGGAGGTGGCCTAGCACTCAATGACACAGGGTTTATACTGGTTCAGGCAACATGCCCTACGTCCAGTTTGAGTCGGTCAGTGACTTTATTCCTGAGCCTAGGTGCTCGAAGTTTGCTGTGGGGTTACAAACGGAAGGGAGAAAGATGGGGGTACAAGAGGTCCAGTCGGACTCTGGTCTGAAGGGCCGAGAGTGACAGGAGCCCCGCTATGTGCTAAGTGTCCGAGCATGTGCTTGTGGTTTGAACCCGGTGGTTCTGTTGTTGTGTACTAGTGAACTGATCGATCTATCTGTTGGGAGAGAGCGCATCCCCTTTTATAGATGAAGGGGATGGCCTTACAAGTGAGAGGGAGAGAGTACGTATGCTACTAAGTCTTGTTGCCCACGCCGGCGGGTACAAGATGATGGTAGGCGCCCACAATACTATTTGATGTCAGATCCACGTGGGAGGTTGTGTCGTCTTCTTCTGGTATGGCAGACGTCGGTGCCTGCCATACTGTTGATGCTGAGAGGCATGCAGGGGGTTTTACCATGTTCGCCTGGTACGGTAAATGCCGACGCCCACAACACTGTTGATGCCCAGAGGCATGTGGGGTAGCCTTACCGTGATTGTCTGGTATGGGAGTTGATGGCGCCCACAACACTGTAGGGAAAATGTCAGCGCCTACAACACTGCTTGGGTTTAGTTATGCTAGGGAGGTCGTAGGGTACTGTCCTGCAGGTGTACAGGGTACGTTCCTCGGTATTGTGGTTGACTTGGGTGCCCTGCTTTACTTTTTTCGTCCGTTCCCTGATCCTTACCGAGCGGGCGTCCCCGGTCGGTTGGTCCCAGTCGGCTCTGACTGCGCCAGTCGAAGAAGAGCTGTAAGCAGGGGTTCGGCGCATCCCCGGTTGGAGACGCGGGTCGGAGTCGAAAAGTGGTGTTTGGCCAGGCCCTCCAGTCGGAGAGGCCGTCCGGAGG